TCATTAAAGTTACTGTCATAATCAAAAGACACATTTTTATCTATTAACTTTATTTAAGCATTTAACCATATATATGTAAAAAAAACTTTTAACCATATATTTGTCGGTAACTCGGTATTTCAAAAAGTATAGGATGATAAATATGCTAACATAACTTACACGATTCCATAATAAATTAGTGAGTTCCTTAAATCCACTCATATTAATAAAGATCAACGTAGTACGGAGTATTACGTTACTACTTTGAGTACTTTCTCTTTTTAGCTTACTAGTAATTCACCCGTGCGATGCACGGTCGGTGAATTTCTAACCCATTTTTTCTTCTTTCATACTCCCTCCGTCCCTGAATGTTCTTCCGATTGCGGATTACGAAGGTTGACCGACGATAAAGTTAAATGATCCCTGTGAAAACTCGGATTATTTTTAGTAAATAAAATTTACATATTCAGAAACTACATTAAACCCGCTACAAAGCCTGCACAAAAAATCAATTTTCATAAAGTTTTGATACAAAAAGTAAGAGTTTAAGAGTGATTTAAGTTGACTCTCGAAAAGCGAAATGGAAGTAAATTTAGGGACAGAGGGAGTACTATTTTCAACACCATTAGCCCAAACAGATTAGTTGATAATAAAAACAACACTTTAGAGTAGAGTTACCAAGTACACAATTCAAGATCATGGAAATATTAAATATAGAATTATAATAACAAACTGAACCAAAATAATTTTGCTAATAACGACAGGCAAGTGTTAAAAATCAAATTCTATGCAATGCTAGACATTATTGAAAACTTCTTTATAAACCACATTTTGAGAGAAATTAGCCTCATGCTGCTCTCATTGCATATAAGTATTTTCAAATCACGCCTATTGGTCATTCTTGAAACCGCAATATAGAGTTGTCCAAGCGTAAGCACGGGTTTCTTCAACAACGACCCCACACTTTTATTTGTAGTCATTATATATGAAATCATAATGAGGTATCGTCGCCTCTGAAATATGAAAGGCAAGTTGGCATCTAAGGGAGTTAAGGACAATCTAGGAATCAACACTTTCTGTCCAACACTAAGACCAGTCAAAATTCTCCCCTCCAAAACATGATCACAAAGTCTGGTGAGAATGAGCTGAGTGCTGCTACACAACCCCATTGAATGATCTATATTTCTAAGAAGCACGACTGAGGTCCCGACCTTTAGCGTCAACTCGTGATTAGGTACACCACACAACTTAATGTTCTTCAGGAATTTCGTGATTCGCATTTTTGCCATGAGATCGGTCGTAGAATCTACCTTTAACACGCTGTCAGAACTAAGATACGTCCTGGAAACCTCGCCCGTGCGATGCACGATTGGTGAAATTTTACGTGTATAATTAACTTAAGTAAAAAAACAAATTATGATTTATGTATAATGACGTGTATAAAAAACAAATTTCTAATTATATTAGATTTTTTATATATACACGTCATTATACTTAAACCGTAATTTGTTTTGAATTCCATAAAATAGTAAGTGCAGTCACACAATACTAATATAATTTGAAAATACACCACATTTAATGCTAAATGTTATGAAATATTTCTTTACACACAACATCTTTGTTTTAATTTTTGATCCTCTATCATTGACTACTTAGACACAATCACGTGCGATGCACGGTCATAAAACTTTCCTTCAAATTTATTTGTGCTCACTAATTCAAATTACACTATCAATTGATGAGAGCATCTATCTCCATAGAATATTGATATAACTTCAAGCAATAAACAAAACATACTTATAATATATATTATAGTTAAAAGGAGAGCACTAAGCATTACTTAAAAGATAAAAAACATCTATCAAATACTTATAAACCATAACATTGTAAATATACATTTCACGTAACCTTAAATATTGTTGAACACTTTTAGAATACAACATTTTTAGTCTTGTCAGTGCGTGGTTCCTTCTTCTTCATCAATACCCGTGCGATGCACGGGTATAATTAATATTAGCCAACATTTTAATTAAAAAAATAAACAAACTTGTAATTTTAATTAAATTTTTTAGAATTATACTCCATACAATAATAAAACTCGACGTGAATGAAACATATAAAATACAATTTACTAATGATTACAGAGTAGTACATTATTTCTTATAGCCCACAAAATAGTAAGGAACACGCAATATAAACATCATTTGAAAACAAATAACATTTCATAGCAAATTTTATGAAACACTTCTTTGTACATTCTGTCTAGCATTAACCCTTGTTAAAAGGGAAATCACACTAAATAGAACAAAAAAAGTTTTATGTATTCCAAAATTGGACCTTAAGCATGACAATATTTTTCAAGCTTGACATTAATTATGCATATTTTGGCCATAAAAACATGACAATCATATTTTGGAATTCTCAAACTTATTTACTCATATTCGAAAAGATTCTCTTTTTTTTAAATCCTTCATTCAAGTAAATCTTTGACAAAGATTTTTTTTCATTTTCAAATCAAAGGTCTATATATGTTAACTGAATGCATAAATTATTATAATTACTAAATAATATGGTGACATTACATCTATACGAATTGCTGATGTAACCTGGCAAACCAGGGGGTGCATATTTGTGAAAATGTGTTATGTCTTTATCTATACGAATTGCTTTATTTAGACGAATTGCTGATGTAGCAAATCAGAGGGTGTGCAGATATGTGGAAATGTGTTATGTCTTTATCTATACGAATGACATTTTTTAGATGAATTGCTGATGTAACCTGGCAAATCGGGGGGGGGGGGGGGGGTGCAGACATGTGAAAATGTGTTATGTCTTTATTTATACGAATTGCATTATTTAGACGAATTGCTGATGTAACCTAACAAATCAGGAGGGTGCAGATATGTGAAAATGTGTTATGTCTTTATGAAGTATATACGAATTGCATTATTTAGACGAATTGCTGATGTAACCTGGCAAATCAGGAGGGTGCAGATATGTGAAAATGTGTTATGTCTTTATCTATACGAATTGCATTATTTAGACGAATTGCTGATGTAACCTAACAAATCAGGGGAGTGCAGATATGTGAAAATGTGTTATGTCTTTATCTATACGAATTGCATTATTTAGACGAATTGCTTATGTAGCCTGGCAAATCAGGGGGTGTGCAGATATTAGTACAGTTTCTTGATAATTTTTTATCTGGGCTTTTACTGGACGTATTCGGTGTCGGACTGAACCCGAGCTAACAAAACCCGACCCAGAACAAACTGATCACAGTGAATTATCAACACATGATTCGCAGTGATTGATCGCACATATCTTGAAGTAATCTTTCATTTGATCCTTTTTTTTCAATGATGTTTATAGTTCTCTTGAAAGCAGATATGTGAAAATGTGTTATGTCTTTATTTATACGAATTGCATTATTTAGACAAATTGCTGATGTAACCTAACAAATCAGGAGGGTGCAGATATGTGAAAATGTGTTATGTCTTTATGAAGTATATACGAATTGCATTATTTAGACGAATTGCTGATGTAACCTGGCAAATCAGGAGGGTGCAGATATGTGAAAATGTGTTATGTCTTTATCTATACGAATTGCATTATTTAGACGAATTGCTGATGTAACCTAACAAATCAGGGGAGTGCAGATATGTGAAAATGTGTTATGTCTTTATCTATACGAATTGCATTATTTAGACGAATTGCTTATGTAGCCTGGCAAATCAGGGGGTGTGCAGATATTAGTACAGTTTCTTGATAATTTTTTATCTGGGCTTTTACTGGACGTATTCGGTGTCGGACCGAACCCGAGCTAACAAAACCCGACCCAGAACAAACTGATCACAGTGAATTATCAACACATGATTCGCAGTGATTGATCGCACATATCTTGAAGTAATCTTTCATTTGATCCTTTTTTTCAATGATGTTTATAGTTCTCTTGAAAGCCATAAGTACTACAAAAACATTATAAATTTTCCTTAAAGTCTTTTTAGTAGATAACTCATATAAATATTTTATATACAGAGGTTAACATTTGAATAATGAATATATTATATTCGCTAAAACAATACATTAAAATCCACCAATAGCGTCTGCATATAAGTATTTAAAAATACATACAATTGGAAAATCTTCTTCTGCGCCGATCTAGAGCCTGTCGCTGAACATATTTTTCTGCTTATCAACTAACTTTTTCACCAAACTCGTTATTTTTTTCGTACGCTAAATTGTCTAATAATAAGAAAAATGTTGGAGTTACTTCTGGCTGCATTGGTTAAAGTTATTGTAGGAAATCATTTTAGCTATTTTTTCATACGATTTTTTCTTTATTTTATCAATAAAATATATTTTAAAGATAATTTTTACATAAATCAGCATATTCATTCAATTTAGTTGTTTCAGCTAGAACTTCACAATAAGTTTCTTCAAAATCAATCGATTCAGCTGATTTTGGTATTACCAAACAGGCTATTAATATTTAATTTTGTTTAATAGTAAAAGTACAAAATGTTTAAGAAATAAGCGTTTTTGGAAAAGTAAACATCGGTAGTGTGTGTTAAAAAGTGTTTTTTGTGTAATAAAAACGTGAAAACCGTTAAATGTACAACTTCTCTTGTTTCAGACTTTTAGCTTTTAAGTTCTTAATTTTAAAGAGATGAATGTCTTGAAAATACTTCATTTTTTAAATCAAAAGCTTAAAAATACTTCTTTTTTTAAATTCTCTCACTCCCAAATTCATTAGTTTCTGATTAAAACAAATTAAATAAATCCATATCTCTATCTTGGGCATTCCCTAACCCAAATTTATAACCCTTCCATTTGAATGGATCGGACCATTCGTGAGCAGCCTATCATGTGAAGTGTTTCAGGCCCAAAAATGCAGCATGTATCATTACACGTTGAAAGATCTCTCCAGAAGCACAAGCCTTCATTTCCTTCGCAGAAAACAAATCGGCACTATCATTCTTTCCAGCCAACTTCACTTATTCGTCCGACGCGGTCCAAGGCAGGCATGCAGCCCCTTTCCCTACCGATCGTGGAAGATAGCATCTCTAAATTCCGTCCCTCAATCAAGCTATTGTGTCCGCCGTGTCCGCTAACCTCCGTCTCCTCCGCCGTTCAGAGTTATATGACAACTGTAAGAACATATTCCCTATACTCCACAGAACCATCTCATCGAATAAACCTTTTTTCAATTACCGAATAAGATTTCTATTCAATCTGTTACATACACAACCTAGAAATCTAGCAGATCTGTAGATATGACTCATCACATTATTCCTTCTTCTGTTGGTGTTAACATCAATGAGAAAAAATAAAATTGAGTATTTCAATTTGAAATGATCATAGACTCTTGAGGAATTTTTTAATCTATTTAAGAATTTCTATATTGAATAATATTTGTTGTTGTATATCCGACTTCTGAGCTTATTGAACGTTTTTTAATCTATTTAAGCATTTCTATTTTGATTCTTCTTTGAAAATCCTGCACTTAAATGTTGTTTCTGATGTCAGAATCTCCTTGTTTGTCTTTTTTGTATGCTATTTGAGCTTGTGACCGGGGAAGTGTTGAGTCCTTGAAGTTCATAAGATGGGGCCTGCGAATGCCTGTGCAGATGAATGAATGTGAGATTGCAGAGGTTCCTTGGTTTCTGGATTTGTTGGATGGAGGCTCTAGTACGTATTCTAGTACATAACTCCTTCCTTGTAGAATTGTAATTGTTATATTTGCAGAACTTGTAACCAATTGTTCCTTTTGCATATCACTTGTTTGATGATCCAATATAATCATCATTAAAGAATTTGCAGAAGTTTTCTTAAAGTAAATAAAGAACTATCACCTAGTTATTACTCCGTAGTATGTTACTACTACTAAAGTTAATTTATTAGCACTGACCATGGCTTCATTATAAATTTCATAAGCACTGACATAAGAGACTGTCCATGTACTTCCCCTCCAATAGATGTCAATTTCTCCAAAAAATCGTAACTTTAAATATAATCATAACTATGTTGATAATTGTAGATTTTTTTTTGTGTAATATGTTTGTCTAAAACAATAAGTATTCATTTTTGTATAAAAGTCACACAATAAATAACTGAATAACATTTAAATGACCTTAAATCTTCTAGCATTGACAAAAATAGACTTTATTAACCATAAATAATACATATTGTTGAACAATAAACTCAATTGATATATATGCATTTGGATAATTATGCCTTATGTGTGAGTGTGTAATAACACGTGTATAAACATATTGCTATGTAACTGCAGGCACATAACTTAGACCAAGGTGAAAGGGAAGAGAAAAAGAGAAGAGGTTCTATTGTTATTTGCAAGCCATTGTTATTCGCAAGAAATAACACCCTAACCAATTAATAAAGACTCAAGTACTCAACACTTGGAGGGAACACTCTTCTCACGCAGGCTGCATGTGAGGAGCAAAAATTGACGAATCACTCGAGGGAATCCCATAGCCCTCGCTCTGATCTCCTAGATAGTTTTGCTCCGGTCTTTCTTCTCACGTAATAAGGAGGACCACATACCAACCATTCTTGAAGAGTTTTACTTTTGTTTTCTTATTTTCTCAAGTATTACTTAAACAAAAGTGATGGACAAAAATCTCACCTAAATTATGTATATCATCATAATCACTACATTGTAAATTTGAATATCATTATGATCATTAAAGTTACTGTCATAATCAAAAGACACATTTTTATCTATTAACTTTATTTAAGCATTTAACCATATATATGTAAAAAAAAACTTTTAACCATATATTTGTCGGTAACTCGGTATTTCAAAAAGTATAGGATGATAAATATGCTAACATAACTTACACGATTCCATAATAAATTAGTGAGTTCCTTAAATCCACTCATATTAATAAAGATCAACGTAGTACGGAGTATTACGTTACTACTTTGAGTACTTTCTCTTTTTAGCTTATTTGCTCTTCCTTTACCCTCTCTTTAGCTCCCTCGTTCACATGAAAAAGCTTAAAGCAACCCGCAGACAGCATAGAAAAAAGTGATCAATGAAGAAGATGAGCGGCAGCACTGAATGCAGCAGGAGCAGAGGCACGAGATTTCTGTTCGTTTTCTTCCCGGAAATTGAAACCACCGCTGTCAATCCTTCAGCCACCGTTACCAAGAAGAAATCCAGCCATCTCTTCAGTAAGCTCCGCCCCTCCACCGCCGCACAGTCCACCATTTCCATCTGCGCCCTTCTCATCTGCATCACTCTGTTACTCTTCACCCTCTCCTCCTTCGAACCCACATCTGCTTCCTTCTCTGCTTCACGGGCCAGATCAAGGAAGTTAATTTCTTCATCTTTCTGGGTTTCTGCGTCTCCCAAACACAACCCAGAACACGCATTACAGGGGATGGGGATTCTGCACAGAAGGGGCACGAGAGCCATGAACGAGCTTGTCGTGGCTCATGCAGTTGAGTCACTCACTCCGCGTGAGATTAGGCTGTTCTTGCGCCTATTGTTCCGGTCCGGGCTGAGTTCAAAATCCGATCTTTTGCTCATTTTCCCGCCGAACTCGGGTTCTTTTGAAAGGACAGTTCTTGAAGAGAACGAGTCGTTCCTGAAACTCGTTCAGAACTCGGCCAAAGATGGGAACTTGACGGGTTTCGACTCGGCCCAGTTCATGGTTTCCGCCAAGAAGGAGAGGGAGAGCGGGGAGCCAATCTGGGGTCGGAAAACGAAGAGCAATAACAGCTCAAGTGAGGAAGAAGAGTCCGAGTCGACTCGGTTGTCTTATGGCTCTGTGGTGAGTTTCAACGCGGACGAGCTTGACCCGGAGAATTCCCTGGCCAGATTTCTCCAGACCGTCCCAATGGGTTTGAGGAGATGGGCTTGTTACCCGCTGCTACTCGGCCGGCTCAGGAGAAGCTTCAAGCACTTGATTTTAGTCGACGCCAAAGAAATTCTGCTTCTCGGTGACCCACTGAGTCGACTCAAGAACAGAAGCTCCGACTCAGTATACGTGTCAGCAACTCTGGCTCAACCAGCGCCGGGCCGGAAGAGCCCAGACCGAACTCAGCCGTCTGGGCAGAGACCCGTTAGCCCGAAAGTTGTAATGGGCGGGTCAAGAGGGGTCCGAAGATTATCCAACGCGGTCTTGACGGAAATTGTTCGGGAAACAATGCTACAGAAGAAGAAGAGCTCGGTTACCGAGTCCGGGCTCTTTAACCAACTCATTGGGAATGAGTTTCTGCTGAAAAGTATAAAGTTGATAGTTTTGGCCGAGTCCATCCCGGAACTGAGTTCACTCACTGGGTTAAGCTCGGAGACAGTTTCTTCATCATTACTGGCAAAAGTATCAGTGGTTAGGCGGAGTAGTAATGTCGATTCGATTGCTTTAATTAGGAAACAGTTGTGTTCGTTTTCTTCAAAATCTGCTCACTATAGTGACTGTTAGTTGAGACTAATTAATTACTATACTGAAAGAGAAGTTTAGCATAAATATAGGGAGTATATAGTAAATTTAGTTGCCATGATATGTTTATTTGAAATTCCAACACAATATACACAGTATGATACGGAGTACTTACTCCGTTCTTTTTTAGTTGCAACATTCCCCTTTTCACGTTTGTCAACGCACAATTTTAACCATCGTTATATTTAATCTCGTATTAGTAAAAATAAAATAAAAGTCAGACTATAAAACTTAGTAGTGAGACGAATTTAACAATATTTTTTTAAAAAAATAATTCACATACATTAATAAATAAAATATAGTCAAAGTAAAGTACATGAATAGTGTCTATATTCCAATGTTGCAATTAATACGATAGGGAGGATGGTATACTAGTAGTGTTTAATTGGACTATATTTTTTTAATTTTGGCTAGTTCCCGTAAAAAAAAGGTTGGCCACTTGAAATTTGTATGATTTGGCCTCAATTTATGTGGTTTGTTAAATGTTTGTTATATATGTACATTACAACTATCAAAGTAGTTTTATGTAGTCTATTTATGTCTGATTTGATTTTATTAGGAGTATGGATAAAGAGATGAAATTGTTTGAAAAAAAATATAATCATCTAACTTGGAATGTTATTAATTTCAATATTTTAGTTCAACTTTAATTCAGTGTAATCGAATCGTATCTTACATCGATAATCATCTTCTTATTCAAAAGTTATCTTTTGTTTCCTCTTATTACATTTTTCACATTTGCTATTTCATATGCGAAGAGCAAGAATTTACTTCATTCGACTCATATTTTCAGTTTCAACAACTTTTTTTTAGTTTTTCTAGACAATAGGTTAATCTTAATCTAATGCATTGAAGGGTCATTACTTATTCATTTACGTAATGACCAAGTCTGCTGAGTCGGGGGTCATTACTTAAAGTGTTAAACTAATCAATCTCATTCGAGTTTATAACAATCATTACGCTCTTGCAAAAAAAATCATGAGGTACTTCAAAAAATAATCATTAGGTAAAGTAGTTAATGGTTAGTAGAATATTAAAAGGTGCTATCAGTTAAGACATTTGAATACACTTTAAGTACTTGTTATAACTTCATTCAAAAGAAGATTATCAAAATGCTCAATACACTTTAATTGAAATATTGAATATTGTTTTTTAGTACTTGATTTTATTATGTTTGACAAAAAAGTTCCCCATCCCTATGAAAATCATAATACTCCACCATCGTAAGGAGTATATATATTTTTCATGAGAACTTGTTGTACACATTTTTATATCCACCATGTTTGTGAAGGGTTTTTTGTCTGTGAATCTGATTCACAGACAAAATAATTTGCACAGACATATTTTGTCTGTGATCGAGATTCACAAACAAAAAAAACTCTTCACAAACATAGTAGGTATAAAAGTGGTATAAGGGTGAGTACAATTTTTTTTTCATTATAAGAGTACGAAGGCTCTAATCATTGTTGCAGTTTCAAATACGGAGTACGTTTATTAAACATTGATCCAAAAAAAGTTGGAATCTCCCACCCCAGGGGCTCCCCCACCCCGACCCGACAGGATGGTGGGGAGGTCAGTCACGGTGACTCAGTCAGTAAAGTGGCGGTAAGCTCATACACCCGTGCGCACCAGAAGCCCAACCTTATTTCAGGTTCGATCTGTGACATTCACCCAGTCGCTGCGGCCTGCGGGAATTTGAAACTTGGTCCGTTGATCCAAATCTCCCACCACTCGACCAACTGAGCTACCTGTGCGGGTTTAAACATTAAACAAAGTTATTTATTGGTATCTGTAATTAAATTTAACACCACTGCCCTATTTGATAGAAATATTATACGGAGTATATATTAAAATAAGTTTAACTTTTTAAACAAACAAGAAATAGGTTAAAAAGCTTTTCAAGCAAGAAACTTTTGGAATGAAGTATAGTACTATAGATTTATGAAAAACCTATTCTATTCATATTATTAGATTCTATAAATCAAGTGCTTTATTTCTAGTTCTCATCATATAAGATTTTAAATTAGTTTCGATCATATTATATATATTTACATTATTGGAACCCAGATCATATTAATACCATTTACATATCAATTAAACTGTATTTTCACAAATCAATAACTATTATTAATCTATTATAATATGTAATCCCTTCATCCTATTATAATTGTCCAACTTTTCTTCTCTCGTACAGTCGTACGTCCTATCAAGTTTGTTGCATACTATATTTAGTGATATTTCTATATTCTAATTCATTATAACTTTATTTACACTTTTATTATTTTAATATCAACCATGCACATAATTTAGTTTTTCTTAAATAATTTCGCACAATCGTGCTAGCGTGAAATGATAAAGGTTTTCTGTCATAATAACTGTATTAATCACGCATTTCTATTTTTCAAATATTTTTTTTCTATAACACTCTAGGAAGCTGTTATATATGTTTAAATTGAAAAAATATACTTCGTATCAAACTTATGATTAAGGACGTTTTTACTTGGATGATAATTCGTCCCAGACCAGACCAAAACAGTTCAGATCAGACCAGATCAAACTTGGATAGTTATAAAAATATAAAGACACCAGACTGTTGGGCCGCGGGTATGCGGTGCCAGCAACAGCCAGCCTGCCGGTGCAATCGGACCGCGTGGCGCTTTGCATGTGCTATAAATGGTGAGGGGCGTGCTACACTATCAGCGATTGCTTTTAGTGTAGTGGTAAGCGCAACGATCCACAATTGGTATCAGAGCCAAGGTCACAGGTTTGACCCCCGGCAACAGCATGCTGCGCAGTTGTAGGCTGGCAGGTGCTGGGGGGGGAGATTGTTGGGCCGCGGGTATGCGGTGTCAGCAACAGCCAGCCTGCCGGTGCAATCAGACCGCGTGGCGCTTCGCATGTGCTATAAATGGTGAGGGGCGTGCTACACTATCAGCGATTGCTTTTAGTGTAGCGGTAAGCGCAACGATCCACACAGACTGGCCAGACAGACCAATTCAGACCAGACTAGACCAGATCAGCGAATTACAGTCCAAGTAAAAACATCCTAAATAACAATCAAGTATACAATAATTTAGGCATTGCTTTGGTGACTCAGTGGAGGACCTAGGGGGGGGGGGGCTAGGTGGGGCACGTGCCCCCGCTTCGAGCCCGGAATTTCACTAGTAGTACTTAGGATAAAAACGAGTGCCCCGACTTCATACCAGTATTTGATAATTAAGATACTAAAATGTTACGGTTATATAAATAAAAAATTAATACAAAATATTTAAATTTTAGTTGAATTAAAATAAAAGATATAGAATTATCAAAAAACGAAAAATAATTAATAATTGAAAACAAAAAGTAACAAAAAAGTTAAAATGCAAAAAAGTAACCAATGTGCGGGCAACTAAAAGTACGGAGTATTAAAAGTCTAAAAACCCACTAACATGTGGAAGACTAGAATGATAAAAGCCGAAGTTATCCAATTTTTGCGAGTCAAAGCTACTCAACCTTGCGGAGTTATATTCATGCGATTTTTCATTTGTTGATCGAATGGAGCTGAAAGAGCAACTCCAGGTGTGGATATATGAAATGAGAACAAATGAGTTATTTTCTGCCGCACAAAAACTATTGGTGGATTTTGTAAAAAGATGATTGAACTTAAAGTTCACAATTCTTTTCATTTGGTATATTGTCTGATTGAGTTGGCTTTAGTGTTACCAGTTGCAACGGACACCGTTGAAAGAGTCTTTTCTGCGATGAATATTATCAAGACAGATCTTCGCAATAAGATGAGATGTGACTATCTTACGGATTGTTTGGACAACATCGAGAGAGATGTTTTTAGAAGCATCAATAATGAAACTGTTATGCAACATTTCAGAATATGAAAACTCGTAGGCTGTTTAATATGTAATCAACTATTCTGTATAGTTTAATACATTTTTTAACCATTTTTATTACATTTAGAATTTTTATTATAGACTAATTTTTGTGTCTAGTGTGCCCCGCTCTCACAAATATTTGAGTCCGCCAATGGTTTGGTGTTGACTAAGCTATTTCCTAACCTTTAGCTCTCTTATGTTTAGTTGCTCTTGTATGGTACTGAGAGTAACATAAAACGCGATACGCAAGCCAATAGTTTTTTTATCTTAATAAATGCAACTCCTACTTTTCCCATGAATGGATTGTTGGCAGGGCCGTCTAATGAATTTGGAGGTCCCGGTTCTAAATATAGAACCGAGACCCCAAATTAATATGATTTTTTTAAAAGAAATATCAATTCAAATACTTATATTCAAATCAATTGAATACTCATTAAAAAGAACTAAAAGAGTAAAATTACCAACGAGAAAATCATGCATATATATACTTCTTCCTTACTAATTGTATATTAGTGATTAGTATTAATATATAATATTACTCCGTACTATATAATACTAAAAGAAATTAAAAATTTTGGGGCCCCATAAAATTGGGGGCCCTGTTCTGGATAACCTATTGAACCCCCCTAAAAACGGCCCTGATTGTTGGGAGAAGCTTTCTCACAAACGCTATGACTCGTTTTTCCCTTTCTCCTTTATTTTCAAAATTTTGGATTTTAACTTGCAAACTCTCTTGTTGTCTTTCTAGGGTTTCCGCAAGGCAATCTTTAGTCCTTGGTGTGTCCGCTATCGGCTTAGCCGAGGAGCGAGGTTCGGTTTCGGCCGGCCAATTTTGTTATTATCGATCAGTCTGGAGGGTCGATCAGGAGGTTACGGAGATCATCACGGGTTGAGATCCCTCGAGGAAGTTTTGAGCAACGGCGTTTTGGGAGGTGTTTCGTCGGGTTTAATGAAGCAGCGAAGCTGACGGATTGGTGCAACGACGAATCGGAGGTCTGTGTAGCAGCAGTTCCGATGTTTTTAGTCGGCTTGGTAAGACACAGAGATTTATGGCAATCGGCGAGGACAGCGAAGAATTGAGCTTCGACGATTATGATGGAGAGGAAGTTGTGGCGAGCGAGGGGAAGGCGATCTTTCAGATGGTTGGCATGTTAGGGTTTCAGACGAATTCTCTGAGGGCTGAAGCTCTCTTCTACCATACTAGAGCAGCTCGACCTCCTCCGGAACCACCTCCGTGCAAGGAAGCAATTTGGGGAATGTTTTTATTTTCGTATTATTTTTTTCGCAATATTTATTTTTATTTCAGTTCGAGCAGATATGGTAAGAATATTTGATTTTTGATGAACTTTTGATAGGCGGTGCTTCATTTTCGGTCGTTTTAGGCTTCCTTTTGCCCGTTTTGTGTCTAGCGAGTCAGGTTGTTTTGCATGGGTGGCTGACTTTAAGTCTATTCCTAGGGCTTACGGTCGGATTTGTAACATCTGTCTGGATTTTGTATTGCTGATTTGATCTTTAGTAATGGAAAGCTGATGATTAAAAAAACTTACAAACTTTCTTGACTACACCTGAAGAATTCAAGTTATTCAACATGGATCCCAATTTTTTACTTTGATAAAAAATGTAGTTAATAAAGAGGTTATTGAGATGGGAGCAGGTGTGTTTACTAAAGTTTCTACATTACCCGAAAACACCACTCAAACCAATATTCATTATTATTTTTTTTTTTTATATTATAATAATTGAATATGGTAGAGTTTGAATAAAATAAGAGTGCACGAAATAACAAGGGAAAATGGGCAAATAAGGCCACGTACTAACCAAAAAATGTCAAATAAGGCCTTACTTATGGGGCTCTGTCAAATGAATTCTTGAAGATAGCTGCGCAGTTAAAAGCACAGTTATCTTCAGAAATTCATTTTAATGCCTTCCCGATTGAAATTTTAGCTGCAATTTGGTATGCGTAAACTAGACTTACTGAATAAGATGCTAAAAAAAAATTCATTAAAAAATTCCACCGGAAACCATCCCAAATGGCGACGGCCGAACAGAGCCTCTTAAATAAGGCCTTATTTGACCTTTTTTTGTTAGTACGTGGTCTTATTTGCCTCTTAACACTTGCTTACTCATACTTTTGCAATTTCTATTGTGCGGCCCATGTATTGTAGAAGTGTAGAACTAGAAAAAAGAAGGGAAAGTTCCCGAAATAGGACTAAAACAATTTGAAAATTCCAAAATATGACTGACATGTTTTTTATTTCCAAAATAGGAGTAATTATTGCCAAGCTTGAAAAATACTTTCATGTTTGAAGTCCGGTACTGCCAAAACATGGCAGTAATTAATCCTATTTTGGGAATAAAAACATGACACTCTTATTTTGGAATTTTCAAACTTTTTTAGTCTTATTTGAGATAATATTCTCAAAAAAAAGAAAGATGACGCCTAATCAGGATCGAAGGCCCCAACACTGGTCAAGTAGTTAATTAGGAAGAGTAAATTGAATTTTATTCACAAGTTGAAAGATAACGAGTGGGGCTTTATCTCAGGTATTTGCAGAGACTCTATACATCTCATCACATTTGTTAAAATTCGAACTTCAGACTTACCTCTTGTGACACTCTCTATCTACCAGTTGAGCTATGCTCATTGGCATGTATGAGTGGTTGAGATGTCTTTGAGTTCAATTCTTAATTATTCAGATCCTTGCATCGTCTAAAAACATAATTATGGTTTTCGTTGATATGAAAGTAGTTTATAGACTTCGTTAATACCGTTTTCCATATATTTCAGCACCGTCAATAAAATGCAGTCAATGTTGGAGTGACGTCATGCTCACATTTTTACTCCTAATCCCCTTGCACTACAAATGTTCTTATAGGAGTATAGTACTTTGAAATATTTTGTGCAATAATTTGTACACTTTGAATCGTTTAGATGTTTTAAACTGATGTACTAATGAATAAAATGATTTAAATATATTACTCCGTATTTATTTGCTGTGAAAATCTACCAATTCAATTGTGTAAATGATCTTTTTACATGTGACACATACAACAAATAATCAAAACAAGAAATCGTAGAAGAAAAATTCACAAATTGCTCTGAAGGTTTCGATCTTTTGAGTGTCTCATCTTCCTCCCTCCAATTGTAATCCACATATCTTGCCTAGCCGTAGCCATACGGAAAACTAACCCATATAAACACACTAATTATGTGGTTTATATATAGAGATGAAAGTTCATGTCAGGACCTCCAAAAACGGATCTTTTGAGTGTCTCATCTTCCTCCCTTCGATTGTTTTGGTTTCTACAAGGTAGGGCTGAGTGTTTTTTTTTTTTTTGGGGGGGGGGGGGGTCGGGGGTAATTTAGAAAAACAAAAGAAAAAAAAATATTGAACCGGAAACCGGCCCGGCCCGGAACCGCCGGTCACCCGGGCCGGTTCCAGTTCCCTACTTCCCAACCAAAAGCCCGGCTGGACCCAGGCCCGAACCGGAACCGGCCCAGATCCATCCCTATCCGTACGGACCTCAGCATTTGGGCCCCTTCCCGATGTAATTTTTTGATAATTTTTTTTAGCATGTTCTTCATCAAGTCTAGTTTATTCATACCAAATTTCAGCTAAAATTTCCATCGGGAAGGCAGCCAAATGATTTTTGGAAGTTAACTGCATTTTATATGAATATAAAGTGCACAGTTAACTTCCAAAAATCATTTGACTGCCTCCCCGATTGAATTTTTAGCTGAAATTTGGTATGGATAAACTAGACTTAATGAAGAACATGCTCAAAAAATTCATCCGGGAAGGGGTCCAAACGTCGAGGTCCGTACGGAGGTCCGTTTTCGGACGGTCCTGACAACAAGACTACTCTATAATACATATTATATATATATAAGATAATTAGTGCAAAACTTGTGATAACGATGGTGAGAGAGCTTGTGATATAGCAAGACAGTGAGGAAAGGAATGGGAGCATGATCATGAATCATGATTATTTAATCAAAGAATTAGAATTAAAATTAGAGAAGCACCTCATTATATTGTTCCTGGTAGCTTTGCCTCCAGGAAGAAAAAGAAGAATGAGACTAATGCCGAATTGCCGACTAATGAAACTGGACCCAATATCTTTACCCCAAGGAAGTTGAAGACTAATTCGGCCTCATGAAATCATGGTTGTGTATGTTACACTTTTCTATCGCTTCCATTACTAACACATCTGGACACTCCATCCAAAGCAACTACAATCTTCATACCATCATGTAATACACAGCAGCTCTACAAGACGGCATTTCAAAACATTGAAAGAAAAAGAAAAGAAGTATTTCAAATATCAAAAGAAATACTTGTATAATGGACATATAAAAGAGGTTGTTCAATTATGGTAATATAATAACCCATGTCAGCTGTGTAAATGATCAAGTGGAGGAAGCTAATGGCTTTAACTCTTGGTTCCTAAAAGAGATCAACTCTCTTCTTAAGCTGATCTTGTTTCCATTTTGGCAACTTGTAGAAGGCTTCCTTTGGCATTTCTAGGACTGCCTCGAATTCCTCATCGGACAGATAATACTGAAAATCAATCGAAACACAAAAGTTGAAAACAGCAAAGATGACTACTTTCTTATAAGAACATGGAAGCAGTATGAAATTTTAGCTACAAACCTCTCTCTGTTTATAGTCGATTCCAGTTGCGGGATTTTCAGATTTGACCTTTAGTTGTTCATAACTGAATATGGGAAGATTGCTTTCACTATCATCTCCATCTTGCTCTTTTTCAGGCCTCCCTTCATCATCATCCTCTTCATTAACTTCAGGAGATACTTCAGAATCTTCAATGTTGGCAGAAGCCTTTTCATTTTCTGTTCCAGCTGCACATATTTACAAATATGTCAAACATCCAAATCTTTAAGTTAAAGAATAAAATATGAAGAGAGAAAATAATAACTAAAAAGGAGAGATGCCACAGAAACTTGGTCATGTTTTGTGTTTTCTTCTTTTGAAGACTTAGTTTTTGTTTTCAAATTTTCATAATATTGTAAATATTTGTGGTATTGGATATATGACTTACACTATTCATTATGAAAATATATCTTGTAGAAGTTCAAAATGGTCTATACAAAGCGGCGTCAAAACCAGAAACATGATTCCGAAACAATGAAAACAAGAAAAACACTATTTCCAATAGTTTTCATAATTGATATGTTTTTCAGAAATTGATTACAAACATATTGCTACCAAACACATATTCTTGTTTTTCTCAGAGAAGTCAGAAGCAAACAGAAAACAAAAGCGTTGAGCATGGATCAATATTATATAAAAAGTGAATCTGTGTTTATGTTTAAAACAACATATATCACTGACATTATTATTCGTTAAGATAAATCTTATAAAATTGAACAGAGTTACAAAGGTAAGGTATGTTTACCTGTAGGACTTAATTCTGCTGAAGAGCTTTTGATGGGTGTCTGCTTATTTTCAGCTGTAAGAACAGAAGATAAAGCAGCTATAGCAGCTGCCCTTTGTGATCCCTGACTTGCCCCTACTGGTCTCGGAGAAGAAGGTTTAGATGAAGAAGTCGAATTAAATGCAGAGTTCAGAGCAGCCAAAGCTGAAGCCCTTTGTGTTGGCCCATCTTGATTGCATGCTCCCTGATAGTGGAATCAATTTCAGATTTTAAAGATAAATATTAGCTCCAAATATGACTTTGCTTCAAAGAGGCAGGCACCAATTAACGAAATCTAAGAAACTGTCATTCAGAAAAATGATCCGCACCATTATTATTACAAAGCATTCACATAAAAATATTTTATAGCATACAAAGTGGCAGAATTTTATAAAATCAAGCCATCTTTCCTTTAATATGGTGGTAAACTGCACAAAAGACATTGAAATGAATACAGGATCTGCCATTTACCTCCACAGCATGACCTGCACCGAGGAGTAACATAACCTTCTTCTGGAATGAGTTTCCATGTGCCTACAAGTTACAGTAAAATGTAAAACTAGAGTTTGATTAAAAAGGGACCACAATATACTATTCAAGAAAATTGGGCATGCCATGTGATACCATTTTGTGGTAGTCGTAAAATAATCACATCGGTACAGACTAACATCACATATGAATGTCACTTTACTATACTATAATTACATATTTGACACAAAGATAGTAAAAAAATAAGTTTAAATGCAGTTATCATTATATGAAATAGCAATATTTTCACCCGGTGGCAGCCCCAAGCTGATTATATAAACCAATTACTGAAGTATGGGAGCAGGAGTACACATTTATTAACCTCCCTCTGTACAAAAAACTGGTCAGGCTTTAAACTTTTTCTTGTCCAAAAAGAGAGAGTTCATGTTTGATTTTTACATGTAAATTGCCAAAACCATGTCACATGTCAGTTAATTATGATAACTGCAGTTAGAACAAATAAAAAATAACATAATAAGTAGGGTAACAATTTATAACAATTATATCTTGTCAAATTTAAAAGTTACATCTTAATCAAACAAGACCTTTTTTTGGGGACGGATGAAGTATTTTTTTAATGTTTCCCAACCTGTTTTTTTCATCACTGTATCCCCTCATAATGAGGATATCATGGTTATTCTTCAAATAAGAATGGGACAAGTTAGCCACAAATATGTTAGGGAAATTCCCAAAATAAGAGTAAAAAAAGATGATTTCCCCAAAAGGTCAACAATGTTTCCCCCCTTAAAATACGAGTAGTGTATTGCCATGCTAAAATCTGCCATATTATGGCCTACCAGACATTAATTTGGCAGTATTACTGCCATAGTATGACCGTAATTACTCCTATTTGTGGGGAATAAATCTATTACTCCTATTAGGGAAATCATATTATTTCTACTCTTATTTAGGAAAATTTCTTAAACATTTATCTTGCATTAACTACACAAGTACACGACAATTCCCCCCGCCCAATGCCTCTATGGTCAAGTTATTCTTGTCAAACTTGACTCTGTAGTAATATGATCAGCTATGCCTTGTTTAGCCCCCCACCACCCGATGAGCAACTGTTCATGGCCTTTATGGAACACCCCTCATCACATCATTCCCAATAACTATCAAATACTCATGTGTGCATTTCAAAAACTCATTTAAGAGATTTAGATCACCCGACTACCCCTTGATGTAGAAACCACCACTTATTTCATTCCATTAACATGTTTTCTCAATACTTTTTAAGTGCTAATTATCATACGCTCTGAGACGACAAACATAACACCCAAAAAATAGTGCCTTTGTAACATACAAAAGCTTTTGCAGGATCCCAAGAAAAGAATGTGGTGAAGAAGCATGGTTCATTTCCCTCTGTGACTTTATACAGTGGAACATTAGGGGACAGTCCTTCCAAAGATGAGGCCATCCCAATGTATTTCTGCAATGGAAACCAAAAACCATCTAAACCAATACTAAAGAGCTACTTTTCATCATAAGAAACATCAGAAAATCATTGGTTACCTGCCCAATTTCAAAAGCAGTTTGCTTCTCATTGGAGTCAGCCAACTGACCAATCCAAATAAAGACTTCAGCATGTGTGTCCAGTATCAAGACATCCTCAGTTAAAAGATCGTCTTGAGAAAAGTTGTACACTTCCCTGACCTAACATATGATTGAAGGGGAAGAACTATGTTACATAGCTATTAATTAATACATACAAATATGTGAAGGAATTAGGCCCAACTTTTAGAACATACCTCAAATTTACCTGGAGATTCATATGATAGCAAAATGACAAGATAAAAATGTCAGTGGCAACACTTATTCTTGAATGAATATACAACAAAGAAAACTAAAAACGATGAGAATATAAAAATGCACCTCTGTTGATGGAATATGTGAACATGTGGGGATCACGGAACGTAACCTCTGGAGGTGCCTTCTTGCTAGTGTAGCTTTCTTTACCACCAAGAGCAGACCAGAAAGCTGATATCTCAGCTCCTTCTTTAGTGTGTTTCACTGACACCCCTGGCTGAGTTTTTTTTTAATTAATAATAAAAGCATGGAAATTAAATTAGACATGCATCGGAAGGAACTACACAATTCACTATGAGTGGTAAAGGGGTAGTGTGCTGAGTTACTTGGATCTAGGAGGAAACTAGGAAAGCGTGAAAGAATAGATAAACCACCTTCACCACAAATGTGTCAAAATAACACTTACCTTCAAGAATTCAGCAATCTTTGCAGCTAGTTGTTGCTGCTCATAAGTACTGTGAATTCCGTGCCAAATGAACATTGAGCCAGATTGAAGAAGAAAGCATTCATTAGAGTTGAGTGACGTTGCCATCTGACAAAAACAAAAAAAATCAAAATAATACATAGTAATGAACTAATGATTAAAGTATTTCAAATTCCTATGAAACCATAAACAGTACTTGTTAATTGATGTATTACAAAAGCCTGATCCCACTTCTCTATATTATATACGGAGTAAGAACTATGCAAGCCTCCAACTTTACTGGTCTGAAAATACTCTCCGGAGAAGATCAAATGGGACAGAGCTGAAGACAAATCCACTATGCATTAATACTTCTTATTTGAAAAAAAAAATATAGAACTGTTGAATTGGGCCTACCTCACCCCGAAAAATCCTCAAGAGGTGAGGTTTACATCACCCTTACATACTTGCCATAAAACTGGGAGGCAACCAATATGAGATACCCAACAGAAACATTGGACATCCAGGCAAAGTGAAAGGATTTAAATGAAGATGATAATTTAGTCATCCAGGAAAAGGGAAAGGATTCAAATGGCGGATGATAATATAATTATCCAGGCCAGTTGCAAGGACTCAACTGGCGGGTGATAATTTAATATTCCAGGACAAAGCAAGGATTGATATGGAGGATAAAAACTGAAGTTCATCAAGAAAAACTATGTTGCAGAAATGAAGAGAGACAAGTTGCTGCTACAGAATACATGAACATCATCAAGTTTGTAAGAAGGAATTATATGTTCCCTATCCACGCTTGTTTGCAAGATTTGGAGGCAGCCCCCCCCCCCCCCAAACAAACAAAACATAAACATCATTTATAATAAATATTTATTAGTTCTCACCATGCTCAATCTATATGGCTGGGGTAGAAGAATATTGAAGGAAATCAAGAATCATGTGTGACTGCCTTAAAAATATTTTCAATCATTGGATCAATTTAGAGTAACTAAAATATACAAAATTAAAATGGTTTAGAAGCTTACTGCATCAACTTCAACAGCTTTATTATTATGGACAGATGTTCCTGATATCCGGACAAGAGAAACTGAATGAGCAGTATAAGTTTCATCATTTAAACCTTTGTCTGCAATGTAATTCTTGTATCCAGAGCTTAATCCACCCTAATAAAATAATACAAGAATTGGTTATTTAGTGTGTGTGTGTGTGTGTGTATTACAAACGGAGGTGTCAAATGAGATGTCATAATGACATCTGACTATCTGAGAGAAAGTACCTTAAGGACCACCATGGGCTGGAATATGGCAACAAATTGGGGTGGCTCTTTCCCTTGAAATATCCGACCCTAAAGGATATCTGAGCTATATTCAGACATATAATTTAGAAAGCATACAAACAGAAGTCATACTCAGACATACCATAACGGGTCTCCCTTTTAGTGATTTGAACATTTTCGTGACCATTTCAGCTGCCATTATCCGGTCCTCCTAGATTCATAAGACTAACTTTAAAGAACTTATTCATAATCAATAAGTTTATGGAAAAGCTAACATATATTATATATACTAATAAAACATGTGATTAAAAAACAAATTTAAATATAACTACATTGATCACTAAGGTAAAAAATATATGAAATGTCATTGTGGACTAAAAATTCAAATTGAAATATTAATTTTAACTAAAAAGAATCATATATTTTTTTTAACACCTTACCAATTTATTATTATTAAAAAAGATTACAAAGAGAAATTAACACACATGATAGATGAAATGAACTTGTTGCCAATATTTTTTGTGCCATTCTTCCTTTTTTACAGGGAAGAGCAAGGTACGAGGGTTCTAGATGTAATCTAATGAAAATTGTCAACTTTGCAGATATGCTTACCAAAAGATTGAAGAACATTAGTTAAACATTTGCTGTCTATCTAATTACTTATATTCAATTGCAGGTCGATTTACCTCAACACTATCCTTCCCGATCCACCAGCAAAGGTAATAATCTTCTTTCTTATCATGAGAGTGATAGGAGTATAGAACTATAAAGCAATCTCCACTGTAAAATTTACCAACATCTTCTTCGGAAACTGGAGTCTTTCCATTTTCATTGATGCACCAAACCTGATAAATCATGCTCTTAGCAATTGAATAAGACTTCACGAGCACTATGAAACAAAAGAAGATTACCTCTATTTTCCCACCTCCATCAAGTAGAGGGGGAACTTCCTCCTTTGTAGGTGCACTTTTGCTTGAAGCTTTGATGCCACCACCTTGTTGCTTTAGGAAAGCTACAATGATTAAGAAGGAATTAACTTGTTATGCCCCTTCAATAAAATTCCAACCATGATATTAGGAGCCTAACTTACCTGCAACTTTTCCTCTTCCTTCCTCAGGTGCAGATGTTGATTCAGACGACCAAGAATCAAATTCAAACTTAAATGAATGTGTCTCATGACCTTGAATGAGCCGAGTAAATTTGGTTGATTTGGGTCTATTTTGACTGACAAAGAATTCCTAAGAACAGTTTTTTACATGAAATATTAGAAACTCCATCAGATTAACATAGATATGTGAGGAATATCTTCTACCTCTGCAGCTTGAGTGGCAACTTTTCTCTCATCCAGTTGAGTAACACGCCCAACCCAAACAAATATCTCCACGCCACAATCCAATAAATAGCATTTGGTACTTTCCAAAATAGATTTGGAAAGTTCGCCATCCACGGGATTGAGTTGACCATCTGCAATGCTGCATAAAAAGAAGTGCTCATTACTATATTCTAGTAGAACCTAAATAAAACACCATGCACTTGAAGATCCCTATGAGAATCCTGGAGATGAAAATTCAGCAACACTTGCACCATAACGTCAAGCAGAATTTGAAACTCCACCCATTTAACAAATATCGAATAATTTTGAGAACTCATATGCCAAACTTGACAAGGTTCACTTAGAGATCTAAATTGATGACGCAACTACAGATATTGAATTCATGATATACCAGAAGAGTTTAGGAGGAGTTTTCTCTGGAATAATATCTTCTTCACCAGCAACTTTCCTACAAATTGGAGCAAACCCACCAAAATGCTCCCAGAATTCACCAGAGTCGGGTTCAGCTTGATTTCCATCTTCTGTAAACAAGAAGATGAAGTTTCAGAGAACAACAACAACATCCAAGCTTTAATCCCAAAAGAATTTGGGGTCAGCTAATATGAACCAATCAATGATATCAGTGCTAAGAGGAGAAGAAAGATAAAGAAAAATAAAGTAAGATAAAATGGATAACATAAAGATAAATATAAGATAACAATAAGTCAATAACATAAATGTTTCATCATCATAAGATAAACACCCCCTTCTAATGGATAACGAAGTTTCAGAAAGCGTTAAAAAATGTGGACAAGGTTTCTGACATGATATCATCATCATAACTTCAATATCAACTATGTTGAGGTCCCTAACAATGAAGTTTACAATGCCAATATTGTATTACACACATAGAATACTTGCCTACAATGGCAACCATAAAAACTCCACTGTGATGAGTGTCCTTCAAAAACTGGACTACTTCTAATGCTTTGGCCCTTTCCTGAATGTTGGAGTTTGCACCATTGAACTGATATATCTTCTCTTTTGTATCCAGAATGAAGACATCATCATGATTTAGTGAGGAACGAGAGAACGGAACCTGGTAACAAGCTGAATGAGATTACAATCTCTTGTATCATAGCACAGGAAGATTATACAAGCATTTGGTTGGAGTAAGAGTGTGAGACATATAATCAGTTTGGATAAATCTTGCCTGCTTCATCCTGACAACTCTTTTTCCCTTGCACACATATAAGCATGTTTCAAATTCTCCCTCTTCTAGTGTCTTAAATCCAGATGCAACACCCCCTTCTAATGGTATAAGGCATGGTTTGAAGTAGGATAAGAACATATCAGATTCATGACCTTGAATTTCTCTGTGTTGCACTGCTCGTCCTCCAAGCATTGTATCAAGTTCTACAGTTTTAATTGCAGCTGTTCCAGCTTCATCCTAATGTATTTTCAAAATCTTAGAGGAATTGTAAACTTGATGAAAGGCTGAAAGTGTGATATATAAGAAGAAAAATGCAACACAATACCTGGCTAGTATCTTTTCCCAGCCAAAAGTGTATATCAAACAAATAAGTGACTCCCTTACCGGAAGTTGTCTGAAAAAACAAAAGAGGTATTAAGAAATCAGTCTTAGCACTGTCCTTTAATAACCTATATCAATAGACGGAGTTATGCTGAAGAAAATTGTGAAAACAGTAACCAATATGCACTACCTGCAAGACGATGTAAGAGTCGCCTGAGTAGAATTTACCATAATCAGATTTTGGCAAAGGAACTGGCTGAAAATTTTCAATTCTCCAAATCTCAGTACCTCTACAGGTAGTTAAGGACAACCCAAAAGGGAAGATACCTAAAAAGACCATGTAATAAATCATGTACACCAATATATATGATGCATGAAGATTCCCATCATCCGCGTGAAGTCATGAACCATATGGGCATCTGACAGGTTAATCAATATATCAAGTTTTTTGCATAAAAAGGATACACTCTTTGGCCTGCTCCCTGAAATGCTGGTTCCAATGCTTTCACAGAGCCTGACATTGTCTAAATACACTGACTTTTAGCAATGACACGTGCACCTTCAAATTCCACCTTCAGCCATTAGAAATCTATACAAAGCCAACTATAGATGTGATTAGGAAGCACAAACTAGCTGCCTACAAAACAGTAGTCACAGTAAAGCACCAGTTAAAAACATCAATTAGCACCTGCTAACCAAAAAAATAAAATAATGCACCAAGTCAGTCCTGACATTCAGAGCAACTATCGATTCCCTTGAAGTAAGTTAGGAAGTATGCATATCTTTCACATAAAACAAGACAAATATGTAAACTTTAGAGAAATGAAGCACACAGATCTTTTGATGCAACATAATACTACCAAAAGGTTAAAAGTTAAAACACATGTGCCTCGCTGATTGCCACTTCTAATGAAGACTATGAGTCCACAAGGGATCAGTGAACCACGTAACATTGCAACGTGCTTAACAATTGATTAATGCAGCGAAGGTAACACCATCAAATTAATAAAAAACAAGATCATGCTGGAGACATTCCATAGCAGCACACCCTCACTGTTCCTTTAAATGCTGACCTTTTTATTGTTCTCTGCTACTCTCTTAAAGTGGGTATTTTTTGCCCTTTATGATTCCTAAAGGCATAAAAAATAAACACATACACACGCATAACCTTCATGAATTTGGTGTATTATATTTCAAGACAAATATTTTATGAATAACCCTTCAGGATTTATGTTCCTACCAGTACACTATGCTATCATTTTAAGTATTACTTTGAATACCAACCTGAAGTTTCTAAGCATCATATTTAGGTCTCCATGATCTTATGCAAGGTCGAGAGTTGAACATCTAGTTTGCAAAATAATTAAGTGATGAAATCAGGTGACATTCTTTGGTATCAGTTTGAATATCATAAAATGACCCCCAAAAGTTCACAAAAAAGTGTAACATAATGCTCCTTGGTGAAAAAAAATACTTTTAAACATAAGATATAAGTATTATGGACTACTTTTCACCAAAGGAAATAATTATTGGTTTATTACTTTCAAGACCCGGAGATCTTTCTAACAACTAACAAGTCTGATAAAAATCTTAAAAGTCGACTGGGTAAAGATGAGTAGTTCAATACTTCAATGTCGTATACAGTTATACATTTGTTCTCAATTTATGTTTAACCAATGTCAATGTGGAACAATCTATTCAATACATGTGAATTCATACAATTCTACCCCATACATAGTACATTGCAAAATAATTAATAATGGGTATATACTCCGTATCAAAGAAGCAAAAAGATGAATATAGGCAATGCACATACATTTAATCATTGCTAACAATAAGGAGCTGTGATCAAATCAAAGCATGATAAAATTGAAAGAAAATTAAACCCACAATTGACTTAAAGGAATGAAAATGCGTTTATCGACGCACCTTGTAAAATCAGAAACGACACATTTGTGAGAGGAGGAAAAGAAGATATTGGCGTGAAGCAGTGGCAGATTGTGAAGACGGGTTTTCCCCCAACTTTGGAGGTAAATTTTCGCATTTCTTGCCCGTGCGCGAAAACAGGGAGGCAAAAAAAAAAAATTGAAGCCATATGTGTGCAGTTTGTATAGATAGAGGAATGTTAAGGAAAAAGAGAGTGAAGGGGAGGAAGCTTCGGATAGTGGGTGAGAAAAAGTACGGACTCTTTCATATTCATTTCCCGGGCTTCCGGCTATGATCCGTTAACTGTGGCACCGGTCTCCTTGCCTACTTGGCGTTGCCTACCCTGAACCGATTGTTTTTAGCGGGCGCGGATAGCGGGATATACTACGTACTCCATATATTTTATTCAGTTTACCCGGACTTCTATTAGTATTTTTAATAAATGAGTCGGGTATGGTATATATGATTCACACCCGTTAAAAACACGGATTCATTTAAAGATTCTTATTTGTTCAAACACACTAATCCATAAAGTGATTAGTTATAGTACTTCAAATAAACAAAATGCAAACCAATATAAATATACACACATGTATATATAATAATACATAAAATTATTAGTTGTAATACTTCAATTAAAAATATGCACACTAATACATACCAACTATATAACTGATACTAATTGAGACAATAAGATTAGGCCTGAGATCGATTCGGTTTCTCTTAAAAATTGGAGAAACGGTTTAGAAAATCACTAATCTTGATATCGGTTCAGTTCCAGTCAAAAAAATCAAGAACCAATATGAAACCGAACCAATTGTAAACGGTTCGGTTCTTGTCATTTTTCAGTTCTTAAAAAAACTATAATCCACCGATTTCTGCCACAAAATAGTTAGAATAAACCACATAACTGCAATCAACCAAACAGTTACAATACACCATCAAATTTAATATTACAAATTCAGGATTGAAATAAGTTAGGACTGATTGATAGCTTAAAGTTAAACTGTCCAAAAAGTAACAATATGAACCTTAAAAGGGTACAATTAGTCCAGCCATAGTTCCAAATTTAACATCATAAATATATTATATTCTCTAATCTTGATCCTTCTTGGCCTGGAATGTATTCGCTAATGATCTCCAAGGCAAGAAGAAGCCATCAACTTCAATTAGTTTAAACTTCAAACCTGAAAAATTTATATTAAATTTAGAATGTAGCAAATGTAAACATAAATACTTTCTATATGTAGTTCTATATATTCACAATTTACACTTTAATGCTCTATACTTCTTCCACTCATGCGTATAAAATCAGCTTGTTGCTAATTGAGTAGATCACGTTTCACCCGAGTTGATAAAACCAATTACAAACTTTAAGTAAATATATTACTCCACATATTTAACACATGAAAAGTTAATCCCTAAATCAAATCAGGTTGTTGCTTTAGAAGCATGACTTTAAAATATAACACTTACCGGTGGCTCACAAAAGTCAATAATAGTCTTCAAAATTCAAAAGTTCTCCAAGACAAAAGCATAAAAACTAGGAGGAATGCACATCCACCTACATGTTCAATCAATTCATTCTTCATACTTTATGTTTATTTTTGCTTGCCCTTTCTTCTTGTTCAAACTCTGCATGAGATTTAGGCATTCAACTATTGAATAAAATACTACTATGTAATAAATTATTATGGCAGCTAAGTGTAATTAAAAGGCATCCAGTCAGTTTTTTATCAGACAGCTACCAAGTACCTTTTTCATTTAAGATCCTTTCGGTCACTAAAAGTTAATGTTACTAAAAAAGTTTATAAAAATAGCTTTTGAGCTAGTTGTGCATGCCAAACATACCCTATTACAAGAAACTAATATTAGTTTCTCGGTTAATTCAACAAATGGTTTAACTCATTATTAGTTTTACAAGTTAAATATAAATTGTTCAATTAATCACGTATTTATAATCGTCAACAAGATAAACTAAGTAAATAAAAAGCATTCACCTAAATTTTAAAGTTTTAGGTTATAAAATCTTCTTTATCTAAACACGTAAATAATGTGCAAATTGAGTTGTTGCTCAAAACACTTTATCACTTAATATATTGGTATGTATCGATGTGTGTCAAATAAGTTATTGTATTGTTTCTAATTTGTCACTTAAGCCCGTGTTTTAAAAAGGTATCATATAAATACGCATACTTTACAAAATTGATCAGTTTGATTATTTAATCAGTTTTTAACCTGTAATAGCAGGTCAAAAAGGTTTTGACATGTGAAAATTTTCAGAATATCAAATTCAATATTTTAATTTTTAGAAATATTTGTATATTCAACATTTATCTAAAAGGTTTTTTAACTTTTTTTTATTCACTTTATTTTTTAAGTTTTCAGATTTTGATTTTATTTAATGTTTTTTTTAATTTTTTTTATCTATTTTTACATTTATACTACGGAGTATTTTTATATTATTATTAGATTAATTATTCAAATTCAAATTTATATGATTTTTTGTAAGATTTATCAATATCCTTATTAATTTTTTTTATTTTTTTTTTAAAAAATAATCTGCTATAGCAGGTCAAATGGGTTGATTGATTGTATTTTAAAAGTAAACGAACTTATATTACTTTTTTAGTAGATGTGTTTAAGTGACAGGTTGAAAATAGTAGAAGGACTTATTTGACCCTTTTTCCATATATTTATATATATACGAAGTAATATTTAAATTCCGATCTAACTGGTCTGAATCAGAATATTTTTGGGGTTTGGACCAATCAAATCGGGGAACCGGAATTGCAAAAATCTTTGGACCGAAGACCGGTCCAGAATGTAACTGGTCCCGATCCATTCTAGACTAACAGGTCCCGTTCGGTTGGATTTTCCGGTCTAGACCGGATTATGCCCAGCCCTCGGTGGTGCACCGCCAAACATTCTGGCGAGGGATGAGTCGGGGGGGGGGGGGGGGGGGTGATCGCCCCAGACAGTGGCGGACCCAGAAAATCAGTATCACGGGGTCCCTACTCTAATGTAACTCTAATTAATAAGAGCTCGTTAGGCGCTTTTTTTCGGCTTATTAGGTTTATCAACCAATTTATTTACGAAACACGTAACTTTTGATTTCGTGCATTGAATTGTGTAATAATAAGAAAACGTAAGTTTAGAGTTACTTTTCTGGCTATATTGACTGAAGTTACTGTATAAAATCATTTGAGCTATCTTTCATACTTTAGCCAACCCAGTCGCTTCATAGTATATTTCAGTTGTATTGGCTGTATTGGCGATGCTATAATTTTATCTTTACTTTATTAATAAAATATATTTTGAATATTTTTTCATAAATAAGTAGAATCAACCAATCCAGTCACTTTAGTGGTAACTTCATAAATTTCAGTAGAATCAGTCAATACATCATATTCGAGTATTACCCAACATGCTCTAAAATAGCATAATGTTTCATAGTTAATGTACATTATCAAAATATTAAGATAGTCATAACACAAAAATTACATTCGAAGTATATATTTCATTCTACAATTCTACAAATGTACCTTCTTAGGTTTCAACATGTTGGTCTTGTAGACAATTAGTCATCTTAATTTGAGATTTAATAATTATTTGATTCATTTTTTCATTTAATAATGGCAAATCATTTGAATTAACATCCAATTTACTACCGGTGCTCCATTTTTTTAAAATCTGGATACAATATGGAAATAATACCCTTTGATCCTAAATCGTAAAGTATTGAAAAAAACTATTCATAAATATCATACATTTAATAATTAATCTTAACATTCAAATTGTTTTAATAATTAATCCAAAAATTTAAATTACGTAAAGTTATTTAAACTTCAAAATTATGATCTTTTACAAAATAATAAGATAGTCATAACACAAAAATTACATTCGAAGTATATATTTCATTCTACAATTCAACAAATGTACCTTCTTAGGTTTCAACATGTTGGTCTTGTAGACAATTAGTCATCTTAATTTCAGATTTAACAATTATTTGATTCATTTTTTCATTTAATATATAATGACAAATCATTTGAATTAACGTCCAATTTACTACCGGTGCTCCATTTTTTTTAAATCTGGATACAATATGGAAATAATACCCTTTGATCCTAAATCGTAAAGTATTGAAAAAAACTATTCATAAATATCATACATTTAATAATTAATCTTAACATTCAAATTGTTTTAATAATTAATCCAAAAATTTAAATTACGTAAAGTTATTTAAACTTCAAAATTATGATCTTTTACAAAAATAAAAGAAAAATGGGGCACATGGGGATTGAACACTGTACATCAGGGAAAGGGGCCGGATCCAGAAGCTCCCCACCGCTACCATCCGTCCACTTCATTGTTTAGTAATCCTACAAGCTTTTTTTCTATTTATACAAGTGTTAATAAATTTTATATAAAATAATATAATATATATAGTAATTTTTTTGAAGGTGCACGGGATCCCGGGACCCCGTGGGACCCTTAGTGGGTCCGCCTCTGGCCCCAGAGCGAACTAAGATGGTCGAGTTAATTCTCCCTTAAGGAATTGCTTAAAATATGACTAAAACATAACCAAAATTCTAAAATAGCTAGGACTAAACACGTATTCTTCTCAAAATACTTATTTACTCCCATTAAAGGAATAAAACAACAAAAACTTTCCAAATATGAGTGGTTGAGCTCCATTTTTAGATGAAAAAAAAACACTCATATTTGAAAAATTATGTATGTTTAATTGTGTTTGGGGAATTTTCTCATTCTCCTTTCCCGTGACGGATAAACTGGAACTATTGATTTTGACAATTAATTTCCTCCATTGATAGTTTTTATTTTGTTTTTAATATTAATTTTAGTAGCAATTATATTGTGGCAATGTTGTTAGAGTAAACTACATCGTCAGTGCAGGATTAGTGAATTAGACTGTTCATACCCTATATTATTTGCTATAGTTCTTATTGTTGGAAAAAGTGTTAATAAATTGCATAAAATGGTCATTTTGGGGAAATTTTTGAGTGGGGTCCACTTCCGATTTGGGTCGGGTCAAAGTGGTTTCGGATTGTCCTTGCTTAGGAATACAATTCGATATATGGTACGCTCAAAACGGATAACGGGTGAATGAGAAATTGATTCTCGAAGTTCACTCGTTGAAATGGAGAAAAACCAGGAAAAAGTGGGTTTCTAGTGTGGTTTTTTCCCACACCGGAAACCCAAGGGAATTTGAACCCTTTATAAAGGGAAACCCCTCTAAGGAGTTAAGATTCATGAAGGGAAAGGCTCTCTCTCGTGTGCAGGGGGTGTGCGAATCAAATCCTGAAACCGGAGAACAAAAACACAGCTTGCGTGCGCGGGGGACCTGCAGACACGAATGTCGTCCGAAAATCCATCTTTTAATGACTAATGATAAACGTCAATGCCAACGAGCTGGCTATTGAATACCAACGTTCATATGGACGATTCAATGCCAACGTTCAGCCAACGTTTTGGCTATTGATGTCCAACGACCAACTCCATTAAACGGCATTAACATGCCAACGTTCAGCCAACAAATCCACCCTATAAATAGGCTAGCAGGTGCTTTGCAAAAGACACACGTTCATACACTTCTTTCACGTATTTTCAGAGCTAAAAACACCTCTAGCATTCCAGAAAAATTCTTCTGTGTTGTGCTTTTGTTCACGTTCGTTGGAACTTTAGTTTGAGTGCTAAACTATTGTTCATAGTCATCGTATCCTGGGAAACGATCGTTGCAACGCTCCTAGCACCCCGGGAGGCAAAGAATATGTTTTAAGGAAATCGTGCGTAGCACGAGTTTTGGCTTTTTCTGCTCCATTTATTTTCTGTTTTCGTTTAGTCATTTTATTTAATTAATTTTTATTAATTATTTTCTTTGTTTTTCGAAACACACCCAACAAACTTAAAACGTATTCAGTGATTGTTGTACTGCGGTAAACAATCTGAAACGTAGTTTGTCACTTTTGTGAACTAACTTTTTTTTTTTTTGAGTTTTCGGAAAACGTAAGAAACGAAAAATGGCTTTGCAAGAAAACGAAAATAATGTTGGGCAGAATGTGCTTGTGAATGACACACAATCTAAACACGGAGCTCTGGTGAACAATGGTTGGCAACGCGGAGTATCTGTTTTGGCCAACCAAAAGGGTTATCCCTTCGATTACCGTGCCAAGCAACTCAGTGGAGAAACCCGAGAAATTCAATGGGTTAAACTGCAAGAGGTGAAAGCAAACGATGCTATTTTACTACTCTCGGTCTTGCGAGCTTCTTGACCGAGGACGTGCCGGTTGTAACCGGGAGTGAGGTAGATGTGCAATCTCTCAACGCGGTTGAGGCATGGAAGCATTCTGACTTCCTTTGCCGAAACTACGTGTTGAACGGGCTGCATGATGCTTTGTACGATGTTTATAACAAGTTAGCTACGGATAAGGAATTATGGAACGCTTTGGACCACAAGTGTAAAAGCGAGGATGTCGGTGCAAACAAATTTATTGTTGACCGTTTCCTTGACTTCAAAATGGTGGATTGAAAGACGGTCGTGAGTCAAGTTGAGAAGATTAAAATGATCTTCCGCGAGATTCAAAAGGAAGAGGAAATGATCCTTTCCGCCATGGTGACCGAGGTCAACCTCGTTGGATCCAATTCGAATGAGTGGTTCGTGGACACCGGTGCTACCCGGCATATTTGCTCTAACCGGGAGTTATTCACAACTTTTGAGCCATCAAATGGTGAGAAGGTGTGGATGGGAAACTCGGCCCATTCCGCGGTGGAATGCGTAGGCAAGGACGTGAGGTGGTCCTGAAGATACTTCGGGCAAGGAACTAACTCTAAACCAAGTTTTGTTCGTTCCGGAAATACGCAAAAACCTGATTTCCGGTTCGTTGTTGAACAAACACGGCTTTCGCATGGTTTTTGAGTGGGATAAATTAGTTTTGTCCAAGTCGGGAATGTATGTGGGCAAGGGGTATGCATGTGACGGGCTGTTTAAGCTCAATGTAATGACTATTATTATTAATAATAATAAAATCCCTTATGCTTACTTGCTTGAGTCTTCCAATGTGTGACATGGTAGACTAGGACATGTTAATTTTAAGGAATTTTATCAATTCAGGACCCGAAAGATAGATTAATTATCAATCTGGGACCTGAAAGATGAAATGTATCAATATAAGACCCGAATGATGGAAAACCATCAATTTAAGACCTGAATGATTGAGAATTATCAATCAGAACCTAAGTTGTCGTGAATTTTATTTTTGATTTTATTTTAAAAAATTTAAATAATATTTTGTTTTATTAAACTAATAAACCTTTGCGAAGAAAAGTTTATCAAAAATTGGCAATGGAATTAATAAAAAATTAAATAAATCAAAACTTATAAAATGTTAGGTCCTAGATTGATAGTATTCCATCATTCGGGTTCTATATCGATACATTTCATCTTTTAGGTCCCTGATTGATAATTCATTTATCTTTCGTGTCTTGAATTAATAAATTTTAATTCTACACGTCGATTAGTTATCATGGAACACATTCCTAAATTCACAATTGATGTGAATCACAAATGTGAAGTTTGTGTAGAGGCAAAACTATCGAAAACGTCTTTCAAATCGGTTGAAAGAAGAACGGAAGCACTAGAATTAATTCATAGTGACGTCTGTGATTTTAAATCAATACAAACATGTGGTGGTAAAATAAAAAAACTATTAAAATTTATGAAAGGCTAAAGGGACAAATAGGCCCTTGAACTGGCTTAAAGTGTTCAATTGGCCCCTTATATAGGAGGTTCTTCCTAGCCGTCGCTAATTGGGGCAGTTCCCGGTGGAATTTTTTGATGAAATTTTTTGAGCATCTTCTCCATTAAGTCTAGTTTACCCATACCAAATTTCAGCTAAAAATTCAACCGGGAAGACAGTCAAATGATTTTCCGAAATGTACTGCGCTGTTTAACTACGCACTTATCTTCAAAAAATCATTTGTCTGCCTTTCCGGTTGAATTTTTAGCTGAAATTTGGTATGAGTAAACTAAACTTAATTAAGAAGATGCTAAAAAAATTCATCAAAAAAATCTATCTATAACCGCCCCAATTGGCGACGGCCGGGCAGAACCTCCTATATAAGGGGCTAATTGAACATTTTTAGTCTCTATGAAAAGTTAGGTCATATATTGATAGTTTTCAATCATTCGGGTCCTAGATTGATAATTTTTCTTCATTCGGATCCTATATTGATATATTTCATCTTTTTAAGTCCAGATTGATAGTTTGTGTATCTTTCAGGTCCTCGATCGATAAAATTTCTTTATTTATCGATTTTATTCACGGAATTTGATTACATAAACCGTATTTTGATTATAAACATACGGAGTATTAACTACTACGAACATATCATTCATAATTTATACTATCACAGTTAACATTAAGATATAAGACTTTTAACTAGACCCTCTGTAATTACTATTGTTTTGTTGTTGTTATTATTGTTGTTGTTATTATTGTTGTTATCTAGAATCAGCAGAATCAGCCAAAACAGTCACTTCAGCCAGAACTTCATAAATTTCAGCAGAAACAGTCAAAACAGCCGATTTTCGTGCTACCAAACGGGCTCATTATTATTATTAGGGGTACTTTATTGGGGTGTCTCAGGGCATATACGTAGTACTATGATCACTTTATTGTGCAGCCCTCCTCAATGCGCATATACGTAGTACTATGCAATAATGTGTTACGGAGCAATGGGTGTCTCAGGGCAGTCACAGCTTAGACATTGACACGTGATCATGCATCTAAAGGTACACCTGCCACTACCCTGCTCCTGCAGCCATCTTCTGCTCAGCACACTACGGCCTTCGTCGCCGCCGCCGCCGGTTGATGCCGCCGTCGCAGGCGGTGTCTTCACAGTGGTGGTAGCAACCGTCGTCAATTCTTGGCTTCCCGAGATCGCCGCCTCACCAATGGTGCCGGTACAAAGCACCGCAAGGAGCAGCAAGATGATCCCCGCGGCCATTTTGGATAATGTGGCTGCCTTTTCTGTGGCCATGCTACTAATATATAAGCTAATTAATTGTTTTTTTGAAGGCTAATAAGTAATAAGGTAATTAATTGTTGGGATAAATACGGAGTATGTAATTAGCTAGCTAGGCTCTTTCTGTTATGCCTTCTCTAATAGTAGTATAAATAATTTGTATAAATAATTAATTAAGTTTCGTTTTCTTAGCTTCCAGAGTTGCAGTAACATTCAGCTCCTATATATAGAGATCGATGTGTTTAAGTGTGTAAGTATGTATGAATGAATTGGATGAGATTATTGATCGGTAGGCTGAAGTATATATGTGGGGAGAGGCTCAGGTAGGGACGTAGGGTCGGGAGCCTCAATAGGCACCAGCGGATTTAAATTTAAAAAATCCTCGTTTTCAACTTCGAAATTTATGTATGTGTAAGAATGTAGAAGTTTTTCCTAAAATATTACTCCGTATTAATAAAAAATTATGAACAAAAATGTGACTCAGTAACTATTAGTTACTATCAAAATTCACATCGTGTAACTATCTTGTAGTCACTATAAACACAATTATAATCACTAATAATTATTAAGTCCCAATTATATGTACATCACTTTTCCAAGAGTAATATTAGTTGATATTTTTTTTTTAAAAATATTTACTACATTAATTATAAGCCCGACCTTACCAGAGTATCTCGATTGAATGACCTTCACTTATTGATCAATGGAGTTCTATCCAAAAGTGAAAAGAGGTGAAATTAAATGTGAATAAAGAGATATGTGTGAGACCGTGTGGAAGTCGCAGCTCGTATTTGGTGAGTTGAGTCTCTAGTGCACACGATTATAAGATGTATCACGGTTAAGATTGATTGAGTCATTATGGTTTACATCCTTCCAAATGCTTTATTTGTGGGGGTGTGGGCCACCTTCAAGTTAGGGATTCATTCTTTTGGACAAAGAGATATGTCTATGAAAATAAAAATGGTCTGAGATAGATTAATAGATATATATAAGTATTTGGATTTATGATGATGTTTTTATTTGGAGTGTAATTTGCTGGTCTGGTCTGGTCTGGTAATGTCTGATTTCTTTGTAATTTTATAACTATCCAAATCTGTTCTGGTTTATTCTGGTATGGTCTAGTTTGATTTGGGACATATTACATTCCAAGTAAAAACATCATGATTGTCTGCACGATATGGTTCATATATGGTCCACACATGATACATATATCGACCTAACACTAGATTGGACTAGAAAAATATATGGAAAATATATCAAAGGTGATTAAATACACGACAATTAAAGTAAATTGCAAAGAAGTAAGGCATGTGTAAAAAAAATCCTAGTTTGACCTGATCTAGTATGAACGATTTTGATCTAATTTGATAAATACTACTTACTACGTACGTATTTGTTTTTAGTTTATTTTGTCATTTTATAAGTTTGATGTAATCTTGTCTCGCTAATTTGATCTAATCTGAAATCCTAACAAGTTCAATGAGAACACCCTATTTAACAAACATAACAATAAACAATTTGTTCCATGTTAAAGTGCTCAATAATTCAATAACGGTTAATAATCAATAATAATGAACATTGTATATTTTGTCTCATTTGAATGAGTGAACATTTACATAGTTTTTATTCATATTTCACATTTCTCCATCTTATGATATTTCTCCGTTTACAATATGAAGGGTTGTTTATCGATTTGTAGTCTAAAAAGGGGATTTCAATGTGACCGGCCTCTTGCCAAACAAAGTGAGGAAATTCAATGAATCTTTAACTTTTTACCTTAAACAAGGTTACCGATCGATTTAAGTCCCTCGGGAGCTATTTGGTGCATAATCATTTACTTTGTTAATTAATCTTATACACGAAATATATGTTGCATTATAAGATTATTCATCTTATATCCATTACTTCTTTCGAGTTTCGATCACCTTCACTAATCACTACTACTAGTTTTTATTACATTTTCACTTCTAAGAGAAGATATAATTTCTCTTTTTCCCATCATAGCACAATTTTTAATTTCTCTAACGTTTTCAACCCATATCTTCTCCTCCGTACTTTTAACACGCACGTTATTGACTCTTATATACGTGGTTTGTAACTTTACTCATATACGAAGCATTATATGGAGTACTTCGTAATAAGTTTATATATGAAAAATGTATATAAGCAACTAAAAGTCTAAAAGGCATTTTTTGTTGTCCAAACTTTAGAAGCATTTACTACTTCGTAATATAGTACTTTCTGCGTTCTTTATTAATAGTCCATTATTCCATTTTGGTCTATTTTTTTTATTTGTCCTCCTTTCCATTTAAGGAAAGTTTTGCATAAAATATCCTCACTTTTACTACGTTTACCCTACTTACTTTTTATAAACTACTTTCTCTTTCATACTTTATTATCACTTCACTCTACTTAATACACTTTCTTTCCTACTTATCATTTACCTTATACACTCTATACTTACCCTACTACTTTATTATTAAAACTCGTGCCCAATGCTAGCGGGACTATTAATAAAGAACGGTGGGAGTATGTGAACTTATTATACTTTGACGATTTTGCACGCTAATCTTATACTCCGTAGTATAGAAGGTATAGAGGCTAATTTAATTAGAAGAACAGCTAGAAAAGAAAATCACACGTGCAATGCCCCACATAGGGCTTCACATCAGGAAGATTGGCGCGGGTGGGCGGTACTTTTCGGCCAAATCACTTAACTCGGGTTAATGGCCGGGTTATTGATTTGGATTTGGGTCTTTAATATGATACGGAGTACATCAAAGATGTTTTTACTTTGTACTATAATTTTTTGATTTGGTCTGAATTGATCTGGTTTGGTTTGAACTGATCTAACCTGGTCTGGTAAATGTCTGGTCTCTGTGTATTTTATAACTGTCTAAATCTGGTATGTTCTCAGACTGAAAACAGTTCAAGTAAAAATATCCTGGTTTTTAAGAACTTGTTTTAGCAATATGTTTGCTCGTTTTGACAATAATTTAAGAACTTGTCGCATGAGAGATCATATTGTTTCTCTAAATTATTGTACTCTACGTTGCAAGAACGGTAAAAACCTAGTATTGACCTGCGTTGTTTAATTAAATAATTTTCATGTGAGTAAGCTTGGTCAGTCTGAAATCGATCGGTTGCCCTCAGAATTAATTCATGTTCACTTCTGTCATTAATTAGAAAGACCCATTTAATTTATCTCCCTTTTTTCTCCTCAATTTTATTTTTCTTTTTCAGATGCCGACTTGCTGATTTTTTTCTTATTAATTAGCTGCTAATTTTTCCTTATGCTTTTTTTTTTAGTATACACACACATTCATGAATTTTATATATTAACGTGAAAATGGAAGCATTGTAATTAATAACAACGGATGAAATATTTAACTCACGCCGTTAAATTGTAAGTTTAGTATGAATTATGAATGTATAATTAGGGTAATTCTATTGACAGCCACGTTTTTACTATATACAGCCACATTATTTCGTAATTCCTATTATACCCTTTATTTAACACTCGTGGTGCACAAGCTATCGATGCCTTGGAAGTCTGGTTTCCGTCCGAATGAAAAGCTACAATTGAATAGTGATTTCCAGATGAGGGAAAGCTCCCTTTCTCCCAAATTTGTCATAGAGCAAAGCTGAATGGGGAATCTCGATTTTTTTTGTGTAGGAGTAAGTTCTGAAATTGCTACAGTCAACCATGGCAGCAGCTTGAACGAGTTTGATAGGAGATCGAGTGACAACTACGAGCTCATTTTGAGGCGTGTCATCTATGGATTAGCCTTAATCGGTGCTCATCTTATAACCAAAGACACACATGTCAAAACACCCTACATCATTCAAAAGATAACCAGATTTGAGTGTTTTGGGTGTTGGAGTAAGCTCTCAATTCGTATTTGAGTTCAATGGGGGTTATTTTTTTTAAATCAAAATCGATTAAGTTAGTGAGTTCATATGTTTGTTGGGAAATTTATTGTAGATTTTTGATGACATCAATTGGGATATCATTTGCCTACTCACGCTTTAGATGGTAGGGTGTAGAGTGAATATTTTGCCTCATCACAAGAAGTATTCTCTTCAAGACTTCAACAAACTCATAATTTTTTGGAAGGTGTAGTTGCGGACTGCTGCGTTCTTGGAAGACGGAGTTGCAGCTGATCGCTCTCACCCACCAAGCATCTTCTCTACCACGGAGCACCATCGCCGGTACAAAACAGGGGTTGTTGGGCGAAGCTACGCCGGAAACGGATGAGGTGTTTTTTTTAGAAGAGGCTGTTTTGATGTTGTCATGTTCAACTATTCCATGGATATGTACAGCTTAGCAACATATTGACCACAAACGAATTAAGTTTGTTGCTATGTTCATCGATGAGTGAGCGGTGGGTTATCAAGGGCAATTCAGATCTTTAAGTTTTTTTTTTTAAATTTTAATATTTAATTTGGGGGCTGTGAATAACAATTCAGGGGCTGTGAATAGAATTACCCGTATAATTATTTTTCGGCCCAAACTTATCTAATTTTCGGGGCCCGATCTTATCCAAAAACATGGATCCGCTCCTGAATTTCCCGCCCAAGAATGCCCATACCGTTCCGTCCGGGCTTCCATTGGACTATTGAACATGGCATTGCACGTGGGATTCATGTTTCTTTTAACCAAGTCTCCATATCTCTTGTAGACGATTGAGTACTACGTAGTATATAAATTGTCAACATACATACACGTGTGAAGTAACGCAAAAATATGAGTCTGTATTTGTTAGGTCATAGGTGTCTATATGAAACTCATGTAGACATACCATTATTGAATATTATGGTCGAGGGGCAAATATATCAAACAATTCGGGTGAAGGTTTTTGGTGTATTACCAAATTAAGGTTTTTTTCTTTTGACTGAAATTTGTTGGTCGGATTTGGTCCGGTTTGGTCCGATCTAATTTATTTTGATCTGAACTGGTCTTATATGGTCCAATAAATGTTTGATCTCTATGTATTTTATATATATGAAAGTCTCATCTCATATGATTTAGCCTGGTCTAATTAGAATTGAAAACAATCAAAGAAAAGATCCTACTTTGTGCCAATGCATGACATTGTGACAGAAGACGTGCGTAAGTAGTGCGTAACAATATGTTTATAACTTCATATGTGTGGTGATGTGTTTTTTACATGATAGTGCTATGCAATTTTTTGGCCTTATATGTACACTATTAATTCTCTT